AAAGTCCACTAGGCCTTCTAGGCCTCCTATATAGATGAATGATTATGTGGTTGGCAGATTGCTGGCAATAGTAAATCTTGAAATTATCCTATTGCTAACTCTGTTAGTTATCAAGCATTGAAGCATGCCTACAGTCAATGCCTTGCAGCTTACTCATCAGAGATTGGGCCCAGGTCTTTCTCAGAAGCATCCAAGGATCTTAAATGGGTGTCTGCAATGCATCAATAACCTCAAGCCTTGGAAGATAATGAAACATGAAGTATAGCTCCTTTACCTCCTGGGAAGCACATTATTGGTTGTAAGTGGGTGTTCAAGATCAAGTATAAAGCTAATGAAGAGGTTGAAAGATATAAGGACCGACTTGTGGCTAAGGAGTACACACAACAAGAGGGGTTGGATTATACAGATACCTTCTCACTTGTGACAAAAATGGTCACAATCATTACCATCATTGCCCTAACTGCACATCATGGCTGACTTATCAACCAAATGGATGTTGTTGATACCCAATTTTGCCCTCATATTTTTTAAATAGTATATATACTTTCAAAATATCATTTTGTATCATTATTTAATTTAAGATTTATACAAGTATTTTTATAATTTTTCATAATTTTTAGAGCTTTAAATTAATTTTCTTGAATTTAAATTACTTGATTATTTACTAATTACCCATTAAATTATTTTGTGATGATTTAATCACCCAAAGTTATTATTTGAATCAACATATATGTTTCAAAATATTTTACTTTATTTTATGTAAGTTTATTTATATTTTTAAGCTATTTACATAATTTTACAATAATAGCCTATATTCAAGAATAATTATATTTTTATTACATTATTTGTGCCAAAATAGCATTTTTTTAAATATTTTTTAATGTTAAGATATTATTTTCAATCATTTTACTACGTAAGTAATATTTTTATTACTTATAAATTACTTTTTAAAAATCATTTTAAACAAATTTTACATATTTAATTTATAGCCCCAATATAGGGCTAATCTCGGACCAAATCATTAGCCCAACACCAAGAGCCCAAGCCAAACAACCCTCTAATTGACCCGGTCGGTACCCATTTGAACGACACGCCCCGCTTCCCATCCTATCTTGCTGTTGAACTCAAATGATCAACGACCCCTAATAAACTAACCCCTTTCCATATATCCCTCCCCTCTAACCCTAATCTGATTTCCCTCACCTAGCCGCCCCTGCACTCTCTCATCTCCACTCTCACGTCAAACCATAGCCGACCATGGAGATCTCTGCTTATCCCTTCCTTATATGCGTACATACGCGGGTTTACTTAACTTTTCTTGTTACTATTACTCATTTTATGGTAACTTTCGTAACCATTTCACATATGGTAAGCCAGACCCGGTTTTGATTCTATGATTCTGGATGATATTGTGGCTTTATGCACTGGAGAAGAGAAAATTTCTCCTGTATATAGTATATCCCTGTTGATTCCGCCATGATTGGGGCTTGTGAATGATTTGCCCTAAGTTCGACTCAAACTAGGGTTTGGATTTCGATTTTTCTTTTACTAGTCCAATTATAGATTGCATGCAATATTTTCTTTCCTAATTTAGGTTTAATTGATTATTTTCCTTGTTTGTTCGTTCTAATTTATCACTATATAAACTCCTTCCCTAATCCCCTTTAACGGACCTCATTACTGCTATTACTCTCACTATTCTCTTCTTTCACTCGTTTCTTACTTTATTACACTCGAATATTTTCTGAAACTGTTGAATCCTTGGCCGGCTGAAAGCCAAGGACATAATACTATTAAACGACCTCCTCAGGTGCAAGCACTGCTCGGAGTCCTTCTCGGGGCTCTTGTGAACTCTAAAGCATTAGGGATTTGGGGTTCCTTTGTCTTCTTTCAATTGCTGCTACTGAATCACTACTGATATTCTAAGTTCCTCACTCTTTTGCTCGTTTAACTTTGCTACCGGTTAGTGTCATGTACCTTCGTAATCCTACTCCTTTCTGTTTGTGCTTATGTTATGTGCATTAGTGTTATCTAGATTTCTCTAAGTTAATTTCGATATTGCGCCATTTCATATACAATTCTGCTTATTTTAGCATTACTCTATAGTTCCATTAGCTTCAATTATGTGCAAGTCTTGATGTTAACTCATATGTATATAGCTAAATTGATTCATGACGCCTGCTTGATTGGTAATTGAAACCTAATTGATGGCTGTTGAACTTTGTTTAATTTCTTGCACTGAAACCTCTTTGTGAGACTATGTTCTTGCTCGAAATTGCTCTCTTCATATTGAATCCTTTATGCCTAATTTTCTATTTCTCTGCAAGTCATGCCTAAATGCTTAGCCTAATATGCTAACCTTAATTGTGTCCAACCTGCATGATCATTATGCTACTTATACCTGTTGCTTGTTCTAAGTTTGGTTTCTTGCCTTGTTCTGTACTATCATGATAACTAACTCATGCCCAGAATGTGTTCTAATTCCTGTTGAGACATTCGTGCCCAACCTGTTATCTTTATGGAACTTTCCTGTTAGTTATGATCTTTTCCCATGCTATTTGTAACTCTACTTGTTCCTGACTTGCTCAATCTTGTGTTACTCAATATCAATTGAGACCTTTAGAGTAGAAACCATAACTAGCACTTTTTCCATATGTGTGACCAACTAGCATAAGGTTTGATGCTTGTCTGGTGTGAAGGTGACATATTTTGTTCACTATGAGTCCTCTGGTATTGTAATTGATATTCATCATGTTAAAATTTTCTCATTCTCGACTTAGTGATTGCTCGAACCTGTTCTGTTATGTTGTCTTCATTAAGCCTTCATGTTGAAACTTTTCATGTAAAGGCTATGCTCTATTTGTTCTTGTCTATGACTTTATTAGATTTTCATGCTTAAATCTTGTGTCTAAGGTTCTTTAGGCTAATTCTGAATCAGTTTACTTTTGAAACTCTTTTTTTTTTAGAATAGTTCACTATCCTATGATGGCCAATTCTGTTACTTTAGCTTTGTTTTAAAAATGCAAGCATGAATCTACCTTGTGAACTTGTCTGTATTTCATATATTCTTGTCCATGTGTTTTGGCTAGAATTGTTGTTATCCTTAGGAATTAAGTATAAAAATTGTTAATCAATTCCATGAGTATTTTGTAACATGTAAGGCTGAATTGAGCATTCCTTTGGTTAAGTAAGTTATTCATTTGTGCCTGGTATGTTGGGCCTGCTTTGGTACTAGAGGTCTGAAATGCAATGTTCGCATTTAAAGTTTGGGCCTACTGTCCGTGTGAAGTTCTGAGCATATTGGAAGGCCCAGATGTGTTAATGGGTAATTCTGCATTTGTAATTAGTTCGGAGCTTTGTTCAATATGGTCTGTAATAAGTTGTAAAATTGAATAATTGGGGAAATCAATAAAATTGGGAAAACAGGTACATTCTAATTCTCACATGAATGGGTAGAAAACATGTCTATAGGATCTATGTGGTCTATTTGTATTTGCTTTATATGCCTTTAGTTTCATGTGTAGAAAGCATGCCTATAGGAGTCACGCACATACTTCACTTAACTTGTTAAAACATGTCAGTTCAAGTATTTGCTATACCTGCTTCCATGTCTGCTACTGTGCACGTTTAGACAACATGCCTATAGGATGTAATAACACATGCCTCACTAATCTAGATACCATGTTTACAGGATTTTAAATAACCAATTGGCCAAATTGCTTCTATTACTTTAGTACACTGCCCCACCTAGATGACATGTCTATAGGAATAAAGTGTTATAAAATCAACTTAATTATTAATAGTTAGAAATTCTGCCTATAGGATGTTGTTGCGCATGAAGCTATTTATGAGATAAGTGTTGTTAATACTATACTCTTAAATTTGTGTCACTATCTAATCACGCAACCATTAGGAACCATGCCTATAGGACATAAACGTCTGCCTAAGGTGCATGCTTATAAAATCAGCATTAGTAATCTGGTCACTCGTATCGCTTTATTGCCTCGCCAACAATTAAAATCATGCCTATAGGATGTGCGATGCTTTAACCTGCCTATACACTGCTTATATAATGCTAAAATCCAGAATCATCTAGAAACCATGCATATAGGACTTTATATTTTGATTCTGAATTCATATACTGCCTAAGCTAAAAATTTGTGACTGATCGCGTGCCTTTGTGCTTGTGTGTGGAGGCTAACTTGAGCCTTTCATTGCTATTATGTGTAGTCCTACCTGTTTTGAATGTCTCCTAGTTTTTATCATTTTGAGCACCCTAAGTAAAGTCTAGAACCACCCAAATAGAAATTCAAAGCCTTCTGGACCATAGGTATGAGACAAGTAGTGCACGCATAGGGTACGACCTAGAATTGAATTAAAACGCTTTTAGGTAAACAACTTCAACATAGTAATCGGGTAGCAGGAGATGATAGTCTGTGCCCGCTGAATAATATGAGCAACTCCTACGTAAAGGAAGTTGTGAAGTATTATTTATATTGCACGGGGTGATCCTTTATGCTAAAAAACTTAGAACCCCCCTTTTTTCTTTATATACTTGATATCCACAGTTAGTCGTTTAATATAGACCAGTGCAATTGTATCCTTATAGTCATACTAAGATTTGTACCGATTCTCATATGTTTTAATAAGACTTTTCAACTTTTGATCTCTCTTTATTTATTTGATTACCTAGACTAATTACATAATCCACATAGTTTAAAATTGACCGGGACTCACAGTTGTGGAACTCAAAGAGTGCCTCACCTTCTCTCCGAGGTAATTTGAGCCCTTATCCGATTTTTGGTGGCATTGACTAGTCAAATAGATTTATTCGCAAATAGGTGCCCTAACGCACCTTAAAAATCATTAGGTGGTGACTCTTCTCTTTTAATACCCATTTAAAAGAGTTGTCACATATCGAAACCCGTTTTCGTGAGAAAAAGGGGCGTGCCAAATGTTCATAATGCCTTCATTCGGGTGATCTCTTGGAGGAAGTGTACATGATCGTTCCTCCTGGTTTCTCTCATACCATTGCAAGGCAGGGTGAGTATACAGTTTGCAAACTTCACAAGTCCTTATATGGACTCAAGCAAGCCTCCAGGCATTGGAATCTTAAGCTCACAAATGCCTTGCATAAAATGGGGTTCACACAAAAGCACTATAATTACTCTCTCTTCACTAAAAGGGAAGGCTATAGTCAAGTGTTTGTTCTCATCTATGTATATGACTTATTAGTCACTGGTAGTCATGTTCAGTTGATTGATCAAACTAGAGCAGATTTACAGAGATTCTTCAAAATGAAAGACTTAGGGGAGCTGAAATTCTTTCTTGGGATTGAATTTGCAAGGTCCTCTAAAGGCATATATATCAGTCAAAGAAAATATGCCTTAAAGTTGATAGCTGAACTTGGTTTAACATGATTAAAACCAGCTAGAACTCCTCTAAAAGTTAATCAGAAGTTGACTACTGTGGAATTTGACAAAGCAGTAGCAGATGCTGCGGATAATGATCTTGTTTTAAAAGATGCAAGTGTATATCAAAGGCTTGTTGGCAGACTGTTATACCTGACAATGAATCGACTAGATATCTCTTATGTTGTACAAACACTTAGTCAGTTCATGCATGCTCCTAAACAATCACATCTAGATGCTACCACCAGAGTAGTAGGATATATCAAGACTGCTTCAGGACAAGGTTTGTTGTTGCCAGTAGAAGGAGATGTACAAATATTTGCATATTGTGATGCAGACTGGGATGTATGTTTGCACACAAGAAGGTCTGTTACGGGCTATCTAGTGTTCTATGGTGATGCCTTGATTTCTTGGAAGTCGAAGAACCAAGAAATTATTGCAAGAAGTTCTATAAAAGCAGAATTTTGAAGCATGGCTTCAGCAGTGGTAGAGATAGTGTGGATGACAGGCTTATTCAGTGAACTAGGCCTTGAGATTAACATGCCAGTCACCTTGATATGTGATAGTAAGGCAGCAATACAAATTACAGCAAATCCTATATTCCATGAGCGTACAAAACACATAGACATCGATTGTCACTTTATCAGAGAAAAGGTGAAAGCTGGAACTATCAAAACTGTGCATGTCAACACTAAAGAGTAGATTGCAGACATACTAACTAAAGGGCCGGGCAGAACTGAGCATGATCATTTACTTGGCAAGTTAGGAGTGAAAAATCTTTTTCTCCCCTCCAGCTTGAGAGGGAGTATTGAACCAACATAGCATAACACGTTAGTTTAGGGGTCAAAATGTATAAGTGAAAACTTGTAACTTAATTATCTCTAGTCGGTTAATTGGTTATTACTGTATATATATATATATATAGGCTTTAGATATTAGCTTCTTCTTTGAGACTTAATCATGTACATTTGCAGAGATATGAAAATGGCTCCAGTTTGAGCTCGATCTCTCTCTCACTTGTTCTTCTAGAACCATCCAATTGCTTGCATGTGCATTTTCTCTTCTTCGTAGATTGCTCAATAAGATTTCATATAAGTCTGTCAGTAAATTTTGCTGAAATCGTCAAACCACTATATTTAGTTTAACAAGTAAATACACAAGTTCTTCATGTGGGAGTCGATTTTTCAAGCATCTAAGTCATGCCAGCCTATGTATTCCTTCCGTCCCATTTTATGTGAAGGTTAATTGACTACTATTTGTAGAATTAAACTACCTTTTCTTTTATTACGATCTTTTCAAAAGTTTTTAAACTTTTTAAACTTTTAACTATATTAACTTATAGTACTCCCTCCGTTTACTTTTACTTGTCCATTTTAGCAAATCTTTTTTTTTTCTTGTTTTACCCTTATAATTAATTACCTATTTTCAAAATTACTTCCCAAGACTTTTTGAAATGCTATTATTATTAGGGTTATATAGTAAAATACATGTTACAATTATTATTTCTTAAAGGACGTGAAAAGTTCAAAGTGAACAACTAAAAATGAACGGAGGGAATAGTTTAGGCACATAAATGCGCTCGTAATCCAGACCGCTTCACATAAATTTGGGAAGAGATAGTACAAAAATAATCTATTAAACTAATGCAACAAAAGGAATTAGACAAATTGAAAAACAAATTAGATATTAGCCGGTTAATGGCTGAAGTGAATGTCCACTATTTTAAATGGAGCGTGAGGAGGGGAGCGTAGAAGTGGTTGTGTACATCAAAAAGCCAAAGACACTTGCATTTAAAGGCTTCAAAAAAACTTATGATATTTATGAATTGGAGTAATGTTTTGAATAGGAACACCAATATTCCCTCTCCGTGTCCAAATATTCCTCAGTATTGGACTTACCTTCTCATCTTGTCTATTGTCGAGCCCTTCTTCTCTTGGCCACTGTCCCAAGAAAATTAAAAAAATGGGGAAGAGTATTTCCGAGACAGAGCCAACCATATTCCTCGGCGTCAACCCACGTGACTTGTGGCCGTGGCTCTGTCCTCTACCTTACACGCAGTTGACATACCCCCTCTTCTTTTTCTGAATACCACCAAAATCTTGTACTTAATTAATTCCTTCTTTTTTTCGAAAAAAACTAAGACCTATTGATTTATATTAGTCTAGGATTTCTTAAGAATATCTGATTCCATCTCACTAACAGTGTTTTCCACACAACATTTGCTTTTTTGGACATTAAAGAAAAGCTTTCGGAAAAAAATGTATGGATGAAAATGTTGTACACACGAAGAAGTGTTTGGATTTTTGCGATTTTCTTTATGAGTTTTTTAAAGAAAGTTTCAAGAAGTATATCACTGTATTTTCTACCTAAGAATATTCTGAAAATTTTCTAACATGACATTTTTTAGCAAAACATTTTTTTATTTTTTTGGAAATGCTTTTAATATTTTTCAACATTTTCACGTCAACGCGCCTAAGAATTCAAATTCATTTGACCAATCAAAATTAAGCTTCGATTATATTATTTCTCCATCAAACTAACTTTTTTTAACTTTATATTTCTTAATATTTTTAACTATAACTAATTATTTAATTTACTTGTCATATAAATATGTTAAATATGTAAGGCTCGATCTTCACTATGCCCTTTCCTTTCCTTCTATACTAGATCAGCAAGTTGGAGGAAGAAAAAAGAGGTTGAAAATCTTAAATAACCAAAATGTGAATTAAATTTCAAAATATTGAAAAATTAAGTAACAAAATAGAGAAAGAAATAAAAGGTTTGAAGATCTTGAATATGACCAAGGTGAATTCATTCACATTTTAAAAGTTAAATCACAATATACAGATCGTGTATATAGTGTGTTGGGTAGTGGGATTAGGAGTATTAGAAAAGTGTTGATTTGTTAAATTAGAATTTAAAGGCAGGGTCAGCGCCTGATGCGCTCTAGATTCTTCGGGAAATGAAATTTTCAACCTTATTCTATAACTCTTATCTCTGCCAATTAATATTCTTCATTTGATCGAACTCTTTTCTATCTGTCTCTTTCTCTCGCGATCGTGTGTGTTGGATTACGGGTTGGAATATTAACACTAGCCACTAATATTAATTTTTGGTTCATAGTTGGAGTTATTAATTTATTTAATAAAATCGGCTAATATATCTGGTCAACATCTCTCTTTAGTCTTTAGTCTTTAGCTAGCTTGCTTTTAAAAAGTTATTAAATGCTTTAAGCTAATATATTCCATATTCTTTACTTTTGTCTCATCTCATCACATCTAACACCTCTTTCCCTTGTACTTCTCATCTTATATTTCAATTTCTAATAACTCATTTAATTAAGAACAATCTTTTTCCACTTTCCTTTTTAAGCACACGCGATTTTTTAACTTTAAGAGGAATATTATAAACAAATACACAACATTGGAAGAATTTAATTCAAAGATGCCATCCGATGAACATCTAATATTAAAGTAAGAATATAGCAAAGTGAGACGTTTCAGATCTCTTAAGCATGTTCTTTATTCCATAGACCTAAGCAAAGAATAACTTGATATCGAATTCTAAATGCGGAAAAGGAATAATAAATAAATAAATAATAGCAAGTTAAACGACATGGACGGTCAAGCATTAAAGACATGACTCATCGCTCGTCAAAAATTAGCTTCATAGATACTCTATACTCCATATTACTAACTATATATTCTGATCTATACTCATCTTTTTGTCGTTAACAAGTTAAACTGTAGTGCTATACTTAAATACAACAACTTAAAATAATGAGAAGAATAATAGTTCTTCTACAGTTATTCGTAGAGGGACTAGAATAATATTATGTATATAAAGATGTTTGCTTCGAAATTTGAATCGAATCAACATAATATTTCTTCCCTAATCCCCTTGAACTAGCGCAGAAGAGAAGACAAAAAAGAAAGAAAGGAATCAGCGGAATCAACGCCGTTTCGACTGATGTGTTCCATGAGCCACGACATTGCCATCTTAATTAAAAATTAACCCTTAATAAAAAAAAGAAAAGAAAAAATAACTAAAGATATACTCCTACTTGTTTTTATTTTTTGAATATTGTGGAATAGTATGGGGAGTAGAAGAGATGAGAAAGAAAAGACAGTCAAAAACAGTACAAAACAAACATTAAAAAGTTCAATAATTGAGAACCTAAAAATAGGGTAGTTCATCGCTTTCAATAAGAGACATTTTGATAGCAACATATAGTCAGTATGTATAATTATTCCAGCACCAGTACAATACATAATTTGAGCAGTGGTACTCAACTACTACTAGACACTCTAGCTTACTAGCTAGATTCCAGCTTCTCTGTAGCTCTTTCTTCTAAAGCTCCAAAAACAACTTATCTTTTATGTGAATAAAAATCATGAGCATACAGGCTAAAATCCCAAGACAATAGGGTAAAGTGGCCACAACACTATAAATATCTCTCCTATACATTATTTGGAACTTTATTATCTTTCCTACTTAAATTTTAATTTAATTACATAAACATATACAATTTACCAATTATATACATTTTAGAAATTTAATGAGAATCAATTAACTCCTATAATCTCTTTAACGTGCATATCACACTCCCTAAATATTTCTCTCTATACCCCCACGATTATGTACTATCTCCCTCCATTAACGCTCTCTTCTATTTTTCTTCAAAAGTCTTTTATAATCTCTCTCAATCTTTCTGAATTTTTTCTCTAAATCCTACGAAAATAGTAGCAGATTAAAATTTTCTTTCCCTTACAATGAAGAAGAAAGGAGTTTCGAAGAATAACCCTAAAAAAGCTAATCTTGGTGATATTCCTACTTTTGATTTGGATATTTTCTCACAGGATTCACCCAAAAATTTGTGAAATTGGCACATGCAAAACCAGAGACAAAGTCCAAGCTTTCCCCTCGTGAAACTAGGGCAGAAGCTCGAACAGAACTCAAGCATGACAGGGATGCTGGTGAAGCTTCGACATCTGCTAAATCAGTAAAGCGGAAGGGCAAAGAAATTGCTCGTGATGATGATTTCGTCGAAAAAGAAGTTATCCCGAAACCTGCAAAAAAAAATCAAAGTTTCTCCTACTGTCAAACCTTCAAAAAAGAAGAAGGTTCAAAAATCACCAAAAACTATACCCCAACAGTCATTAGAGAAGGTAAAATTTTAGTAGTTACATTTTATTTTTTTTTAAGTTACAAAACATGTTCTCAGTCTCATGACTATACTTTTTTTTTTTGTATTTGTAGAAATTTTGTCTATATTGTATATATTTGTTGTTGGTTATCAATTTTTTTACATTTTCTTGAAAATTGTAGATTTCTTGTATATTATTCGAAATCATTTTGTTAGTGAATGTACTACATGATTTAGTTAGTTTTATTGGTTATTATTTGCTCTATTTTGTAGATGTTAGTTTTATTTTCTGTAAACAAATTGTATATATTATGTCTAGTTG